TAGACAGTATACCGGTACTTGTAGGGGAATGATATCCATGTACCGAAGTACAGTGTATATTATGCAGGTTGAAAGGGAGAATTTTTTGCCGTCCCTGGTAAAATCAGAAATCGGTCTGCAACATGGAAATGAAATCATTGGTTAACATTTAACAAAAGTGGTACAATTGTTTCCCTAGAAGTCTACCGGTACCTTTGGGACTGAGGTTCGTTTATAGTGTACACTGTACATGCAGCTAGTGGCTGTTTCCTGGCTATTCAGCTCTGCGACCCTGGTTTGAAACCCACCTACATATGTACATACATGTAGGCTGACATGTTGATAGGATTTTTGGTCTCTACTTCAGATTTGTGGGTTTTCCCTGAAAGAAATCTAGGGTTTTCCTCCCACCTGTGAAACTGAACATTTCTTCATTACCTTCTTCATTATCAGTCATCCTGTCACATAAGCAGAAATGAAGTTCATAAATGTGTGGTAAATGCTTTGTACAAGTTATCAGAAAGTAAGCTCTGCACTTGGCGGTGCTCAATTGTTTTCTTGATTTTTGATTAGCACCCATAGTGAGTATTGATCAGTGAACCTCTCCTCCTAGGAGTGAGTTTGTACATGAACTCATGTAGCTCTGAAAGCTGGCCAAAAAATAGGTTTTGAGCACCACACAGCTGTACTTCAGTTTTGAGGTTTTGGTACGATGTGGTAGCAGAGGTGTTGCTTGTGTGTTCTGAATCTGTGTCTCAGCTCATGTTTGCTTGATCTAAGAGTAGAATTGTCCATCCCTCTTCTGATCCTGTCACCACACCCTGCCCTACCCCTATCCTACCCACCCCAAACCCCACCCATCTCCACCCACCCTACCAGTGACATGTAGCCCTCCCCAACCTCTTTACCCAGATTAAAAAATACAAGACAGTGAATCAGTGTGTACTGGTAGCAGGCAGAACTTCACGTCCAGATTTGCCTCCCGTTGTGAAACTGAATTCCCTTAATGATAAATTGCATGAATCTTAGACCCACTCATCCATGAAATGGTTGAATGGGAGAGGGGCCTCTCCAAGGCAAGATAATGGTATGAATGGAAGAGATAACCCTGTTTACTTTGTGGATTACTCCAATGCAATTATTGCTCTCTGTAGGATGTTTCTTTGTCAGTGGTGATATCCACATGTGCATATCATGCACAGGGTACGCAGTTTTGGCAGTACAAAAATGTAAATCCCCAAATCCTACCTACATGTACATGTACATTAATATTTTCTCTTTGTATTTTTTTTGCGTGATAACACAAATTCAATTCCTGTTCATGTACATGAGGGCATTCAGCATGTTCTTTTGTTTATATACGTGTACATGTACATACATTTCTCCTTTTTTGCTAAAGGATTTTGTGACCAAAAAATTAAGATAAAATAAAATGGTTTTCTTGGGCAGGTGTGGCTTAAAAGCCATGTCTGAGTGATGCAGTTTTCGATTTCTGTTTTCAGTGTTTTACATACTTTTACATACATGTACATGTACCTGTATGTTCCTCTTCTGCGTAATATGCATCTCCTTCGACGGCATAGGCAGCACCATACATGTATACATGTATGAGTACATGTACAGTACATGTTCTCGTAGCTACATGTACATGTGGCTTCTCTGTGAAGCAGCATACATGCAGATCTGGTTGATGTCACATTTGACTCGGTAATGGACCATGGGCCTAGTTGTTGCCAAGGCGTGATATTAACCTTTTTGGTTGACTGATGAAATTCATCACTGAAGACACGGGGCCGTTTTCCAATACTCAACTTCGTCTCCGTCTCAGGCTTCGTCCCCGAAACCAATCCCTGATTGTGGACCTGAAGCGTTTAAATCGAATTGGATTACTGTGTGTTTGCTTTCTTGCATCTTATTTGATGTTTTGTGGCACTATTAGACTACTGGTAAGTAGTGCGCTTACAGCTTCAAAGTCAGGTACATGTAGTAATGTTGAAGCCTGAGACGGAGCAGAAGTTGAGTATTGGAAAACGGCCACAAATAGTTGTTATTCACAAGTCACTTCTGTGCAAGTGGCTCTTACTCTTACAGACTCAAATATTTATATTAAAGCACAGAAAGAATCACAAACCCAGATAATTACTGTCTCTGAGTGACTTTCAGGACTTCAGTCTGGAACATCTTCACAAACCATGGCATATGCACACTGTACCTGTCCAAATCTACCCCCCCCAAAAAAAAGCAGAATATGAGTAGGCAGAAATGTTTCCTTCAACCATACTAGTAGGTATGCTTCGTTGGCAAGATTGTATTGATTGCCCTGCCTGCTATTGGAAGGAAACATGCATAAACCTCCGCTGTCTATAAATTGACATGTCATGTGTTCTGGAGTGTTCAAATGATGGCCCAGTACATGTACATGCTGTGTAGGAAGGTTTTTAGTTGCCCTTAAAGCTTCCAGCCTGCAGCTGTAATAACATCAGTGTTATCCCAAACAAGTTGTCAGAGCACCTAGTAGGGATACTGAGTGATGTGGACTTCATGAGCTGTATTGTGTACTTTTGATACCATCTGGGAAAAACCACTGGAGGTCACTCAGCTTGTTTTGGTGTGAAAGGCAAAGTCCCCCAATATTTTGGGCAATTGTGAATTAATAGCCAAGTAATTACTTTTGAAAAATTGAAGTAAAGCTTCCATTTTTATATATGTACAGAGATGTGTAAAACATAATTTTACGAATGACAGAAAATCATAAACTATCAAACTTTTCAGTCATTGTTATTTTAAGGGCAGCAGCAGCTGGGTAGAACAATGATCAGAAATCATCATTGCTTTAACAAATAGGGCCAATTACAACTTCAGTTTGCAGTCTCTCAGTTAGTCAATTTTGTATAATCTCGGTGAAATTTTTGCTCAAAACTTCAAAGCGGGGGTATTAGTAGACATAGTTCAAAGTTTGATATCTCAAAAAGGGGTCATCTGGTTTTATGTCTTCCGAACAGAATTTACTCAAGTTGTAGAAAACCTACTCGTAGAATCATGAATCAAACAGTTTTGAAAAGAAAATAGATTCCTCATTAATTTGATTACTCAAAAGTGACAAATAAAGGTTTACCCAGATCACGTCACACATACATGTAGTAGTGTACTCGTCAGGAGGCTGAACAGTACACCATAGAGTACAGAGAGATCTCTACATTTGGAAATCCATTTCAAAGATGGATGACAGGTTGTGTTCTCAGACAGAGTTTTGATTCAAGTTTTTTTGCAAGAATTTTACTCTCCTTGGTTTTCCTGTTCTTCAGGTTATTTTTCGATTTTGAATGTGGTACATGGTTAAAGGAAACAAAGGATTTTTAATAGTGCCTGTGGCTTTAACTCTGTAACCTCCAAGTCAGAGGGAAGATGTGGAAAAATGTTCTGAATTGATCCTAAAGGCAGGGGCAGGCCTCGAGATGGATGTGCAAAGTCTGAAGCATATGCAGCAAGGTATGGGACGGAGAGAACCCCCCCTGCTTTGTTTTGGTCATTGTCTCACAGGATTTGGGGAATTCCTCTCAGACATCTTGGGGGGATANGATTGGACATGTTGGGGGGTACCCCTCGGTCTCTTTTCTTGCTGGGAAGGAGAGAACCTGAAACAGTCAGCTAAACCATCACACTTTTCATTGGCATTTAAATCCCCCTTATCGCCACACAGAAAGCACTTGGCAAACTGGTACCGGATACCTACAGCATGTACTGTGTACATTGTACGAGTGAACACTGTACATGTACACTGTAGGTGAAGAAACATAAGTTTGTTAGTTAAAAAGAAACACTTGAGTTCTTGTACATACACACGACACAAACTGTGTCTTGTAGACATTAACAGCGGATTCTGTTTGGCATATTGGTTTTTAATAGAAGGACACTGTATGCCCTCCTTTATTTGGAAAAGAGATCGCGTCCTGTATGCATTTCTAAATAAATTCTGAAGCAAAAGTACGTGTTTGTGCATAGTGTAAGTGTACATGTACAAGATTGAATTTTACTTGCAATTGGACATTTGTAGAAATCAAAATGAGCCTTTCCTAAGAACTTAGGGGCAAACAAAATTTCCTAGAAGAAATGACAGACATGCATGTGAGACAGCAGCCTAAATCCTGCAATACATGCTTATACTGCATGAATGCCGATATCTTTGGTGATTCATGACTTGGAAGGGCAGTATAATTACAGTGTGAATATTTTGACCATCAGAGTTTAACCATCTCCCACTTGTGCAGTGCACTTTCACTGATATCGCAGGCTTGCTGCTGGGTAGATTCACAGTCCAAATCCACCAGAGACTCCAATGTGTTGACGACGGCCTATTCAGGATCACAATACATAAGCTCCCAAGACACTTGCAACTATAGCAGTTATTGAGTTTTAAGTGCTGCGATGCCGGCAGGAGGAGATCCTGGAACTTTCTGAGACAAGTGCAATAATGCATTCATCCCACGTACCGTATTTTTGATTTCCACAGGGGTTTAGTATTACACTCCTCGGGATGGAGTGACAAACATGCTTACTTTGGTGAATCATTAGGCAAGCAAAATAGGTAAAATTCACCTACTTCAGCCTGTATTATCGGCAGAAACTGTAGGCTTTGTATAGTCTATGATCCATGGTGCATGGGGCTTTAAAACCAAAACATGTTACATGTAGTGCTTGGTGATATCTGAGTAATCGGCTTAGAACTGCAGAGACGTTGATTTGTTTGCCCAAGCTAACATTGTTTTTACCACTTTCTAGTTTTATTGGAAACATACATGCACACCTACACAAAGGCAGAAAAGTTGCCAGTACTTCCTTTTTGTTTTTGGAAAAAAATTCAGTATCCTGTACAGGCATTCCTGTAAAAGGCAAGTGTTGTCTGCCTTATGTTTGGATAATTATCAGGTTGATCAATGTCAGTGTTTGATAGTTTGATCAGTTGGTACACGTATGTTATTGATGGGTCATTAATCTTGTCTTGTTGGATTGTTGCATTTCAGTGACACTGAGTAGCACCCCGCCTGTGTCCTTCCGTGAGTTCACCTTTGCGTGCTTGCTGGTTTCCGACGACATCACGCCCTCTGGACGTTTTGAGGTAAGCTTAGGCAAACGTTGACATGTCGCAATAAACTGACAGCTACATGTAGTAAAGATGAGTAAACTTCATGTAGACAGGTTTGCGGTCGCACCATGGATGTATCTCTTTTTGAGTTTGTGGATTCCTGAAAAGAACTGGTGGTACTCAATATTTCGGACAGTATGCTCTGTCCGTCGCCAGGAGACGGTTAAGTAAAGATGTAAAGTAAGAATGAATCTTTGCTCTTTATCTACTTGCTGGGTCTCAGTTTCACATAGTTGTAAAATTTGCTGGGCTTCGGAAGGTTTTCACTTAAACCAAAAACAGCCAAGCAAACTTACAAGCCACAGTGTCACATGATTCGGTTTGCTTGTGACAGGCTTTTATTGGTAGTTGGCTTTTGAGAAGCAGGCGAATGTTTTCCAGCTGCTGAACAGCCCCCTAAATAGTTAAGTTTTCTCAAAGAAAATTACCGTACTTGTCAAAATTCTTGGTTTCAACACTGACCGGCTATTGTGAATGTTAAAGCTCTGTAAATTTAAGGTCATGGTTCCAGAAGTTACAATTGTGTCAGTCTGGAAATCTGCTCAGATGATCACTTTGTGAAATTTTAGTTCCCTGGGAATTAATAGGAATTTTTGAAATATATTTTTAATACACTAAATAAAGTGCGCAGTGAGTCGTAAAGGTCACCTTTATATGAAGGTTGCTCATAAAATTTCATCTAAAGAAACAAAAAAGGAGAGTAAATGTACTACAAATTCCTTCTTGTAAATATGTGGTTATTTGAATGCAAACTGCATTTTTTTATAACTGAATTCATTCTGATCATTCCTTAAAACCTCCAGTGCACTAGAGTTGATGCAGTAATTTTGCTGTTGATGCAAGTTGGAGCTGTCTCTCATTCTTTGATCACTTTTGAATGGCATCTGCGTAAATAATTCATTATGGCCAAGGATTCAACATCCAGTTGTTGCAAAATGTCATTTGTCTCGAAAATATGCATATAGACCGCCTGTGTACCGGTACATAATAACATCTATGCGTGTACCGGTATGTGCCTCCTCAAACTACGGGTATAAAGCAAGGATACTTAAAAACCAGCTGCATCCTTAGGATGCTCCCTTTTTAATCAGCTTCATTTAAAGTCCTTTATCTCAGGGATCTGCATTCCTCTTTTGCTGCCAGTGGGATCTAATAAATTTGTAGATTGTGAGATTATCAGCACCTGCTTGAGGTGTAATCAGTACATGCAGTATATGTAATTTCATACTGGCTCGAGTTACAAGTACTTGGCTTGGTTTTATCTTTTGTACTCTTGATTGAAAATGTAATCAGACCTTTGGTTTGAAAATCAAGTTTCCAAGTGTCCGTACTCTTTAATGAAAATTTAGCTCTTTACTATGTAAAAAAAAAACAAGAAGTGGGATGTACATGTACAGGTCTGAAGTCTGCTGTGACTAAATTCTAACGTCTTGAAAAGCCTGCATACCAAAATGATTATATGTACACCTGTACGGTCTGTATTACACATCTATATGTACCGGTACATGTATTATACTCTGAAGGAAAAGGAACTTCCTGTCTGAAAACTTCCCTTTGGAGCACCCGGACAGCATGGGAACACAGTGGAGACCTGCATGGCATCATTTGGTGGTGTTTAATTTGTATTGTACATGTAATTACATATATTATACACATGTACATGTAGAAAAGTTTTCACATACTCATGTACAGTGTACATGAATGTAAAATTATGAAAAGTTTGTAGGCCTAAGTCACATTTTGACCAAATGCACTGAGTTCTGTGTGAATTGCTTCCAAACTCTAATCTGTCCAGATCCTTCAGAATCCACCTGGAGATTCTGGGTTGAGGGAAGATCAAGGAACTGAAGGAAATCTTGGACTCTTTTGCTTGATTTGGTTATGCCACTACATGAAAAGTTTTTTTTAAGTAGATACTGCATGAAAATATAGTGTTGCAGTAAAGCCAGATTCCCAGTTATAGAGAGTGGGATTCCAGTAATGAGAAAGACAATTTGGGTGATTTGGTCAGTGCTATATTTTTGACACAATTCAACAGGGATATTCAGGGTTGGTGATGGTATTTGTAAGTAGTGCTGTACATGTACATGTGTATGTGTGAATGTTTAATACATGTTTACATGTATATGTAATAGCCAATTGTGAGATAGATAGATAAATGTAAAGGCAGGGTATTATCATAAAGCAATTAGGTTCTTTAGTCTGGTGCATCCACCCCTGATGCATTTCACCAAGAGCCAAGCATAACAAACACTCTGTGCAATTTGTCATTTGACTGACAACTTGGATAGATCGTAACCTTTAATTAGGGACAAGAAGGTGTTGAGGGCCATGTGTGTGTTATTGTATGCCAGCAGTTCCATGCACCAGTTGGAATGCTCTGTCCAGGAAGTATCACTGTTAAGGGTACTGTGTACTCATGAGCGAATGCTTTTAACGGTCAAGGCAAATTTTTACAGTTCCTTGATCTTAAGTTAAGGTGTTATTGGTACATGTATACATTTTGCTGTCCTGTCACTTGCACTGTATCTACACTGTATCGAGCAGAAGCACCCCGTATCGGTTGAAAAGGGTCACGTTGGTCAGGCAATTTTTTGGTAGTGATGCGACTGTGATGCATGCATTTCCTAGTCACTCGTGAACCAGTGAAGTTCAGGTCCGACCAAGTGAGCCTCCATTGCTAAGATAATAGCACCCTCTCTGGGTCTAGCTGTAGACCCATTGGTGTATACCGGTACATGCAAGTCTATCTGTGTCTGACCGGGTGGCAATGCTCACCGAGCACTTTGAAGTTTTAACTCCTGTGGTCCTTCCTCTATTGGTAAAATCTGAAGTGGGCAATTTAAAAAAATTCATGATTATAAATCCTTCGCATCAAATTCACTTACAGAATCCAAAAAGCTGATTTAAATCAAAATAAGTGGACAGAATTGAACATAAAATCTTGCCAACCCGGTTATTTTTTAACACATACTGTACATGCATTCATACTTTTTTTGATACTAGGAATTGGAAGGCTCACAGAGGGGGGCTTAGCTGTTCAAAATGTGCAAAGCCTGCAAACATTTCCAATCATAAAAAAATTCAAAAATTGAAACATTTTTGCCTTTTTACCCCCAAAATTAAATATGTTGATTTAAATCAGTGATTTAAAAAAATCACTTGATTTAAATCAAGATGATTCAAACCAGACAACCCTGATCCTGGAAACTTTACCTTTGATGCCCATTTAACCTCATTATAAGTTTTTGTTTTGCCTTTTGATTGGTTATTATTTGTTATTTTTTTGCTATTACAAAATTTACATTTTCATGGACAAAACTATGGTTTCGTTCTTTTCAGAAAACTCAGTTTTACATCTACCGGTACGTGTGTATTTTACCCAAAAAATTGTTGAGCAGAATTTTTGGAGCATTTTTTTGTTGTACAATGTAAGTTTTTTCCTGTGGTGATTCATTGTTAATGTATAAGTTTACATTACAGTGCAAGTACTTTCAGTCAGCGAAGATCTCTAAACTTAACGGTATCTTTCCAGAATGCTATCACAGCAACAGTGCCCTTATATGGAAGAGCTTTGAAAATATTACAGTGGACGTTTTAAGCAGGCATGCAATGTTCCCTCTGATTAGCTGATTTGCTCATTTTTCAGTCCACACTCGTGCCATTGAAAATTGAAAAATACTCTAAAGTTTGTAAAGATTGGAATTTCCTCCCTTTTTGTCAAAGTCCAAGTTGCATGCCTGTCTTAAAAATGCGCATTTTTCAGCATGCATTTAAATACCTGTGCACGAGAAGTCGAAAGTTGCACAAAATGTGTGTCTACATACTTGAATGTATATTCCTACTAATGGGGGTAAAACCCCCACCTCTGGTGAACATTTTGTGGATTCGTCACCATCTTGCAACCTTGTCTTCTCTCCAGAGATCCCAGTTACAAGTACAAGTACATGTACGTTCCAAACATTGTTTCACGCACCATGAACATGTTTGCTTAACTAATGCATGTTTAAACTTGGCTTTCCCCATCCAAACACTGCCGAGCTACAGCCTTTTGCCAGTGCAAACTCGAAAAAGAAAGGTAGAGTTGTTAGAGCTGCAGGGGACATAAAATGGTTGCAATCTCCAGTGCCATGGAGAACGTTTACTTGGTAATTGAATCTTGCAAATGGCAGATGTCATTAGCAATGGGCTTTTACACAGAGTGCTGGATGGAAGGGTACATGTACATATTTGTACATGTTTTGATTATACCGGTGCATTGTACATGTACAAGAAACCAGAGCATGAACACTAATTTTGTGACACTGTGGTAAATGTTCCCAAGGCAAATTTGCAAGGGTGAATGCTTAAGTTTCAGCTTTGGCAGATTTCATTTTGTGATCTGAATTTTGATGAAAGTTTTCTAGGAAAGAATTAAAGTGGAGTGTATTGGTATACCGGTACATTTCAAAGAAACTTAACAACTAATTGGTACATATACATGTATATACATGTACATGAAAACTCTTGGTTCTCTAAAATTACAGAAGACAAAAACCTGCCCATTAGATAAAAGAGAGCTGATAATTGTTTCTCTAGGAAACACTCCAATGCTTTACATTACACGTCCTCAGTTTAAAATGTTTCCATTGTCAAGTCTGTCCACCTCCTGTACATGCACTTCTGTGAAGCTAGGACTTGGAACTCAAACACTGAGAAGTGTACTGTAACCCCCATTAAGGTGGTGCCTTATTCATGAGGTTGAACAGCTTCATTTGCAGGGGTCCATAATTTGCATTAACCATGAGGGCCCATTTGCATTAATCATGAGGTTAACTTGCCTTGCTTGAGCAGGATGTATTCATTAGGCCTACATGTATTTCTGAAAGAAAATTGAGACTTTTGAAAAATTCAATTGCCATTAACATGTACATGTAATCACCTTGTACGGGTAGAAGGACTTACATTAACTTTCCCAGTGCATAACAGGCTTTTTAAAAATTATTGAAGGTATACGCGTACGTACATGTACCGGTAGAGTATGGATTACATACATGTGCACATGTATACATGTACATGTGCACATGTACAAGGTGCATCACACGTACATGTATACCCTAGTAAAATAAAATAGCATGAAATGAAAATTTTTTGGCTAGGATTTCAGAGCGACCTCCCTTTGTGAAGTATCGGTGTACTGTACTTGCCCATCATATTTCTGTCATACTGCACTGTGCAATGCTCTCAATCAAAGTTGGTCAAACTTATTTTCACAGCAACGCATTTCCTCATACGGTACATGTATAATTGACAATGGCTTTTGCACATGTACTGTTCCTTTAAAAGTACCTTTCACTCTGCACTGTAGCATGATGAGCCAAACTTCTTGGAATAAATTAAGGGAGGCAAACATGCCATCTGTTCATCTGGACTCATGAGAAACATTGAAGTCGCACATGCATGCCACGTTGTACCGTACATGTACGTGCACGTACAGTAACAGTGAAATGGTTCCAGGCAATCAGTTTTACTGATTTCCTTGTATAATTCCATTCTGTGAAAAGTTTTAGACACCCAAAATGTAGGTCCATAGCATTCTCCTGAAGATAAACACTGGTATTGATTCCATACTTTTTTCCCAACATACATGTACTGTACATGTATCAATCAACACTTGGTTATAAAAGTGTACTGTATGTGCTGGTTCATGCATACAAATAGGACCCACAGCGTAGCTACTTGTATCGGTGATCTCCTCAGATCATTTGTAATGCTCTGTTGAAACTGAATGATCTATGGTTGAATTTATCGCGGATTTAATCTCAAGTGTTCATTCCTGCTAAAATTGTGTGTTTGCACTGTAATTAATCCAGCAAATTGTCAACGCGACATCTTCTCCAGAAACCAGACTAGTCTAGTCATTTGCAGTGTCTGATATTTTGAATTTCTGCCGACTTCCTCCTGTGACACCACAATCAAGTGCAAGGTGATCCAT